TGCCTCAGCCTCCCGAGTAGCTGGGACTACAGGCATGCGCCACCATGCCTGGTTAATTTTTTCTATATATATTTTTAGTTGTCAAGCTAATTTCTTTCTATTTTTTTAGTAGAGATGGGGTCTTGCTCTTGCTCAGGCTGATCTCGAACTCCTGAGCTCAAATAATCCACCTGCCTTGGCCTCCCAGAGTGCTAGGATTACAGGCGTGAGCCACCGTGCCTGGCCAAGAGGTGGCTTCTTTTGGAGCCTGGAGAACATTCCATTTCCTTTGTGTCTGAGAGCCAGGACAGTGAACTTATCTTCATCATGCATACCCTGCAGAGCCAGGCATGTGACATCATCTGAAGGAGGTACCTGGGGTGGTGCTCTCCCTACTCTGTGGTTCTGTAGGACCTGCTATACAGGGAGGGCGCTGACCATGGTAGGTTTTAAGGGAGGCCGTCATGCACTTATCATGTCACAGTCCTATGGCAAGTTTCTTCACCTCTCTGGTTCCCTGTTTGCCGCAACCACAATCAGGAGCTCTGGGAGCATTTTTCTCTTCTTTCTCCTCTTTTTCATGAAATCTTGCTCTGCTACTGCTGCCCACACCCATGATGGAGAAAGCCTTTTTTTTCCCTTTCATGTGTTTTTGTGTGGAGCATCAGGGAGGGGTGGAAAGATCAAGGGATTTGACAGTACAGAGACCTGGGTCCAACTTCCCGGAGCTCAGGTCCCACACATACAAAGGGTTAATTGCTGAGTTGTGAGGGTTAAGTGAGGTAATACGTACCTAGGGCCAACCACGTGGCAGAGAGCCATAGAAGTACATTCTTTTCTACCTTTCAACCTCACCTCTTTGGCAGCAAATGCTCTAAAATTCAGGGACTAAGTTGCTCTTTTAATTTGATTCTTAATTTCTCTCTTAATGTTCTTTTCCCTTTAGGCAATAGGTGATTTTAAAAAATGACACGTTTTTCTTTGTGATTTAAGGGCTTGCCGGGACTGCCAGGACAACCTGGAGAGCGCGGAGAGCCCGGGTTAAGGGGAGATCCTGTGAGTGACACTGGGGGACTTCTGCTGCTTTAACTCCAAGGACTTGAGAACCGTTTGCTTGTGAAACAAAGGCAAAGAGCAATTAAGTATTCATTAATAAGGCATCTGTTCAGCCTATCTTAGTATTGCAACAAATAAGAGATCTGAGGGGAAAATTCATCTTTTGGAAAATTAGGGTTCTTGCAGAGGTTGGAATTTTAATTGCATTGAGTGTCTAGGATTATTGAACAGGTCCAGACAGTAAAAAGTGTCCACTTTGGTTGTGCCTTTCTTTTTAAAAAATCATTCTTCCTGTAATTTCTTTTCTTTACTTTGTTTTCCCTTTGGGGTAACCAACCTTTTATTTTCTCAGGGGGCTCCTGGAAGTGATAGTTACATCCAAGGCCCTAAGGGAGAAAAAGGAAGGCGTGGCCATCGGGTAAGATGGTTTCTGTTCCCTTGGGGAGACTGGCACACATGGGAATGGATGCTAGCTTTTGCAGAAGACTTGGGCATTCTGGTTGGATCAGCACAGAAAACCAGAGCGCAAACCTGTGGAAACCCGTTGTCCCTGGAGATGGGAGCTCTGAACGCTAATCCCCATGTCCATCCTTGCACTTGCATCCTTATCTCAATTTTTTTTTCTATACAAATCCTATCTCCCACAACACTAGTAATACAAGTTACTTTACCTCTTTTGTCTTTGGTTTCCTCCTCTCCAAAATGAAAGCATCAGACTCTATGATGCCTAAGATATTTCCAGTTTCCAAATTCTCCAATTTTATAATGATATATTGATTTGAAAGCTCAGGGTCATTACACTGCTGGCGTGTTTTCCATCACAGCCAGTGCTAATTGAAGTGAATTGGGTATTAGCCATTCTCTACTTAAAAAGACTAGAAGCGTTGTGATAGAAGGAAAAAGAATTAACTTGACAGATAGTAACTTCTTGGAAGCCATTTTTAGATTTTTATGTCTCAGATATTAAAATGCATGATTCTAAAAAAATGACTAAAATAACCCAAGTGCTTTAGTCCTCATATCTCATTATTTCTAGTTTCTAGGAATGAGGTCCATGTAGCAAAATGTTTGCAATTGGAGGGGAACCTCTATTTACCTTGAACTCTAAATTTTTATCTTTTGACAAAATAGGACATTGGCTCTCCTCTCTAGATTGTGGCTAGCTCATATTCCTTTTATATATGTACAGGTCCTGAGTTAAATCCAGTCTGTAACGAGATCATTATTATGTAGATATGTGAGAAAATCGTCATGACTTACTGCAAGAATCTCTCACCGTTACAGGTGTTGCCCTTGGTGCCCCCCTCCCAAGTCTGTGTTTCAAATATGTCCATCCTTCGGGTAGTGCGC